TAGATTTCAAGAGAATCCAGGAAAAAGATTTTTTTTCTATTTCGACTACTGTATATTTTTTCCCATTAAAAAATGCTAGTCCAAATAAACTCTAAAAAGATTGTGGCATACTGCGATGCTGAGGTGATCTGGTCAAATGGTAACTGTAGTAAACCGGCATAATTAGGTAGATCCAGGCAGCTGCGCTATTCAGGATTGTTCTTGTTCCTGCTGCTGCTGCTGCTTTGATGGCTCCTATTCTTTCCATTTCGCGAGGTTGATTTGTGGGATTGCCGAGCATGGAGTCATTCGGTTTTGCGGTAACAAGAATGCATCCTGTGGAATCACCTCGAAATGGTCACCATTGTTGCAGATTACTCGTGCCATCGTTACTTTTTTGAGCTCAGCCAGTTGGGCTCTTGTGAAAACACCTGGCCTTTCGAAATAAAACCTGAAACTTTGTTTTTCTTTTGCATTTCACTCAAAATTACAAACAATAAAGCACAATCAGCAGCACCTAGATAGTTGGTGCTAGTGGGATGCTACAGTACCATATTCGCTTTCTCTGAGAAATGAATGTACTCGGAAGGTTACGAGTATTTACGAGTACCAATGGAAAAGAATGGATCCTTTCGCAGTATACTTATCAGTTCAGGAAAGATACATTGTTTAGGATTTCTCCAACCATCCTCTAAGGATTAGAATCGAAATTGCATAAAGCATGGAAAAACTTTAAAAATTTGCTTTTTTGGCAGTCTCTACTGCGGTTTCCTTTGATTTGGTGCCGGTTACGATCCTCTAACGTATGCCAGTACAAATTTATCATCGAAACGAATGAATGGGCTGCAGAGAGGTTGACTGCTTATTGGCGAAATCGAACAAATGATTTTTACCGTAAAAATAGAGATTGTATATTACTCTACCCGCCAGCCTACATTACAATAATATTGGAAGTTCAATGTCAAAGATTCGGACCACCACTGCCACTTGTCTAGAAAATGAGCAGCTAATTAAATGATACCTGTCACCATCGCGTAACCTTTTGAACTGGTCACCAATTAGACATGCCAAAGTTGTGCCGACCAATCCACCAACTACTGGATCTTCGACCATTGAACCCACGTACAAATCCACATCGTCTGCAAATACAATAACTGTGTTCATCCAGACACCAACAAAGCTTAAAGGGAGAGGACGGAGGGAAAAGAGTCACTCAAAAGACTTTTTTTCCAACACTTTACTTACTGTACGCTTCTCTGCGTTGTTACTTTCCACCCTTAGAAGACTAAAATTTAATTTACGAAAACGATAGAATTGTC